TTACAGAGCTCAGACTCTGCAGGAAATAGCCAACATTTGCCTGCAAAAATCAGAGAGCAATCTGAGACGAAAAGGGAAGATGAGACATTCTCCCTCAAAAGAGACTACTACTTTGGTAGACACAGCTATCTACCTTATGCCTCTGGTAAAATCAAAGAAAATAATAGACCAGCCAGAAAAGGGACTAGACTCAGATATTAGGGGAAATATAATTGCTTCAAATAAAGAGGAAAAAGAGTGGCTTTGTAAAGAAAAAGGAAAGTTAGGCTGGAATGGAAGAAGAGTGAAAGAGAGGCAAGAAGAGAACAGTTTGAAGGGTTGATAGACCACTTAGGGGGGTTCAGTCACCAGAAGGCGCACAGTCTAAAATTTCAGACTATATATAGAGAGAAGGTGGCTCCAAAGACATAAAAATCCCTAAGACACAGAATTATGTTTGAAACCACTTGTAAATGGCATGAAAGTGAATGAATATCCAGAATAACTTGATGTTTTAATGTGAATGGCTTTGAGAGCTTTTAGGTTCAGGAGCTTACGCATATGACAAACATGGATTTGTGAATTGTGGATTGAAAGACTTAAACAAGAAATGATTGAAGCCAGGTAAAATGAGCAAAGAAAAATTAGTAGAGGAAATAATTTTAGAACAGCTTCTACATATATTCTACAAGTTATTCTAATTACTGGAAGAGAAGGCCAGCCACAGCTCTACAGGAAAGGTATTCCTTACAGAGAAATACATAAGATAAGCCAGCTTCCCAGTTGACAGAATACCCGAGCTCTCCTTTTCCTGCTATCTAAGTTAGCAGATTCCTCTCCTCCTCCTCTACACAGTCACAGGGACAACCCATGCAGGGGATCTGGTAGATTACATTGGAAGTCTCTCCCACCTCCAAGTGATCTTTACAGTGCACAATTTGTTCTCATATGGTAGTTATAAAATAAATGCTATTGAAGGAATTTCAGGTCAACAGCCCCATTTACAAAATAGTGGCCTGCCAAAAACTATGTAAAATAAATTTATGATTTAAACTGAATAAAGTTAATAAAACAAACATGATTATGTTCCATGCATTCAATATTTCTGTATTAAAATAAGTTTTATAACCATTTTTAGAAGGATTGGGAACAAATTTCAAAGTTTTTCAAGGCTCATGGAGTCCTGGTGGCATTTGGGTTATATATTGTGGCTTAAAGGGCAGAAAAATGCATGTTGGCCATTTTTCAACACTATTGGTAGAAAAGCAGGTTGCAAGAGTATTTACTTATGTTCAAATTGTTTTAGACACATCATTTTCGTTTAGGAAGGAAAATCGAAGAAGGGTAATAAAACATATAGAGCACACCTCAAAGCCAAGTTAATTTGCTTTAACACCTTTTTATCCAGGGTAGGTACTGACTTTTATTTTACTTGCGTATCCATTTTAGTATTTGTTTCATGCAGAGCTCAAACACTTACAGATCAAAATTGCAAAAACGCTTGATGTTATTGTAAATCACTTTTGTCAGTTGACAAAAGAATTTAAAACAAATATAAATTCCTGAGTATTGTCTTTGTATCAAACAGACAAATTTCAGAAATTGTTAGAGAATCTTAAATGCTCATATTTGTCTATTGTGCAGGTGATCATCAATTTACAACCACAATTGGCATTGGAATTTCCATCATAATTTGTTGCAATTGTAAGTTAAGTCAGATCTGTTTTTACAAAATTGATAGTGGACATTAAGCAAATCACCAGTCATTAAGCCAGTCCAGCTTCTTCTCAATGAGTGGTTTCTGCTGTTCTTTTTGTCAGAAATGGGCAAAATCAGCTGACAGCAGGATGCTACAGCTTGTTGTAATGCAAGTTGATTGTTAAACTCCCAAATTGCAATCATGTGACCACAAAGGTAGTGCATTAAGTGCAAGTATAGATCATGTCAATTTTTCCAAGGAGTCATAATTTTAAACTATTAAATAGTCATAAATTGAGGACTATCAGTACTTGAATTTCCAGATTACAGCCTTGAGGCTTTTTGAGTTCAATTACTATAAATGGCTTGAATTTTTTAAAAAAATGTCAGAATTTTACAAATGTATAGTTTAGGTGGAGCAATTTAGTTATAGAACAGTATCTTATTTTTGTACAATCAACCTATGCATTCTGTCCACAATGGTGCATCTTAAAATACCAGTATGATTTTAACCATGGCCACCCAAATAATAAGAATCACTGCTAGAAATGAAATTCTTGGCATGAAATAAAACCATTTTCAATTTTTGTGCTTAAAATGCCTGTTTATCTATGCAAAATGATTGATTTAATTATAGAATATTTCTAACCTTCATTTAGGTTTTTTTTCCTGTGAAGGAAGCTATTGCCAAGAAAATGTAAGCTTGTCTCCCTAAATTGCTATTTTAAATGTAATAAAACTATTATAAATGAAAAACACTCAACAAGTATTATTAAAAATGTGAGCAAGACATGCTAAGCCTGCCATTCATCCATAAGTGCAATTTGTACTAACCAGGAAACAACTGTGAAGTCCCTTCCAATTTTGTAGGAACAAGTTGAATTTAAGCTCTGATAGTCTGTACTATAAGTCCATTTTATGCTTAGTAAAGGACATCCATTCCAGTAAAAGTTATATTAATTTCAAGTTCATTTTGGAGCTGAATAATTTAGAAAAGCTACCCAAAACTAGAGGTAGGATGCAGTACAGATTTTATCCAGTTGTGGTGACTTTTTTTTTTTTTAAAAAAAAGACTGCATAGAATCACTGGTAAAGACATAGAAGTCACAATTGACAAAACATCTATTTTGCTTCAATATTGAAAGGTACAGGGGAATTAAAATACACATTGGTTCTTGCATCCCACAGACTATGCCTTTAAATTGAAGAGAGGTCTGAGATAATGTCATTCCTTCAACACCACACATACAATTGCATTTCATAATATCTAGCCATTCAGGATATCCAGAAATATATGTGAGACAGTTTGGTAGAGTTGTTAAAGCAACATTAGTCAGGAAAGCGTGAATCCTGCCCTGAAACAAAGCCACTGGGTGAGCTTGGGCTGGTCTCTCTAGCCCTGAGAAGGAGGCAACGGCAAGAAACTTCCAGAATCTTGCTAAGAAAAACTGCAAGGACATAGCCTAGCCGTTGTCCAGAGTCAACACTGATTTAAAGTTCAATGAAACAACCAAACAAACAAAAAAATCTATTAAAGTATGTGTTCCCTCTAGTATCTGAGGCAGCTGGGATGGTTTTTGTTGAAATTCAATGATACAGTAGCTTTATAAAGTATACTCTCTATAGTAGTGGGATTATAAGGATTAAATAGGAATTATATTTTTTTCCAATCTCGCTCCTCCAAATTCCTCAAATAGCAGTGAAAAGTAGTTTAGAAATGTCAACAGCTTCAGAAAAATTAGAAGACCCCAGCCTGAGGAAAAGTCAACTGAAGAAAAATCTTGTCTCTCATGTTAATGATTTCACCTGCAGTCAATATATGAAAGGATCCAGTATTACATTCCAAATACCTTGTGACTTCTCCAATTTTAGTCATGCATAATTGAAACCTTGTGTGTAGACCTTTTGTGCTCACAAGCTTTCCCAACGCTTAAACCTCAGTCTCACTGGATTCAAGGGAAATCTATATAAGTAGGTATTAGTGTTGAATACATGGAATTCAGAATCAGAAATGAATATAAAAAAGTTTGTGTGGCATGTTGCTTCATCAAATAACTCATTTTCTAAATTCAATTACATGATATTTGGCAAAGCCTTTCGAAGTTGGAATACGACCAACAATAACTGGTTCAAATTTCCATTAATTCTCAGATTTAACATAAACCTTGGAAAGCCGTCATGAGCACAATCTTATTTAGTTATGGTGGATAGAGTTGAAATACTACGCACATTTGAAGAACGTTAAAAATGTATTTATAAATTAACTACATATGCATACAATGCTTGATACGTATTAAATATTTTCACTATGAAAATCAACATCACACTAAGTTAGACCAATGTGTACACTAAATGAGATTGAATCATTGACTGTATTTTTGAGCCAGACTTGACTCCTGATGATTATCTGGACAAGTCTCTGAAGCTTTCTTGGCAACATTAAATAAGTTCATTTCTGGAGATTTTTTCCAGTCCAGTATGGGAATAATAAAAATTGAGGGCGGCATTTCTTTTATACAAACTATTCTACCACTTAGTTATAAAACTTTTGCTTTTCTTTAGTATTAAAAACAAATTACAACTTTACTTCACTAGCCATTCTTATTTTCCTTTAATTGGTTCCCTAAAGCACACTGAAGCAAAATTCTAATGTAATTAATTATGGCTCAAAGACAAAATTATTATCACTGAACGTAGCACTGTGAAAGTTGTGGCATAAAGTCCATTAAGAGATACAGAAATTTGTATTGTTCCACAATATGAAGTATTACTTGAAAAGTACTTATTTCAGGAAGGTTAAAAGGGATAAGGGGTAATAATAGAATTGGTAGTTTCTCATCCTTAAAAGCCTTCATGAACAATAATTTTCTTCAGTATTTTACACAGGGCAATTTTATTCTTTTTCCTTTTTAATACAAGAGAACCTAAACCTTTTCCATTCCACAATAGATAAAAATGGTGATTCAAAGTAACTGACATAATTGGCTCCTTGGGGCAAATCCATACAGTGAATTCAAAAGAATGTGCTTACCTACAATTACAAATAGGTTTGCTGTTCATAAGTGCATAAAGAAAAAATTCCAAGAAATGTATAAAGGCTATTATGATCTATTTCTACAATGTCTCTATTAAAGTGCTAACATTCACTAACATTCATGGTTATACTGATTAAAAATATTTAAAAATTACCTTTTTGATCCCCCCGCCCTGCAAAGTACTATAAAATATAACCCCCCCAAAAAGCAAAATTACAGAATCTTATTTAGAACAAGATAAGACAATGCTGTCTAAAATCATTGAAAACAATGGATTTGGGGATACTTTGGGAAAATGTGAGGTTGGGAAAGATTACATTCAGTATTAATATACATATATTGAACCATGGTGTTTTTTGTTTTTAAAATCTGAATGTATCTTTTAAGGCAGAGGTCTCCAAACTTGGCAACTTTAAGACTTACGGACTTCAACTCTCAGAATTGTCCAGCGACAAGTCTTAAAATTGCTAAGTTTGGGGACACCTGCTTTAAGGTTTAGTGTAATAAAATGTGATTAGCTGCTCACGACCTGATTAAAATTTTGAAACAAATGGAAAAACAACCTTTTCATTGTAAGAATTTGAGTTTTTTAAGTTAAATTGTTTCAGGAAAACATGAGTTTGATTTACTAAATAATAATTATGTGAAGTATCATTCATTGTTTACAATTTATTATACTGTTTTCTTTGTGAATAATGGTTAGAGCATAATTTGTTTTAAAGATACAAGTATTAGCTATATAGTAGAATCACTCACTTGAAGCCCTTTATCTGATAGAAAAACTCTAGTTAAAATTAATTGTCTCATTGAAACATACCAACAAAAGGGAAAATGTAAAAATCACCTAAACTTTTTCTTTAAAATTGTAAAGAGATTTTTTTTCAGCCATTTTAAAATGAACATTTAATACATTTTTAATGTTGACTGTTAGTGGGAACTATTTAGATATATAATTGGATATAATTATAAAGAAGCCACATTTCCAACTCCAAATTAGTAGTCTTAAAGATAGACAGTTAACAGGGTATCATCCAGGTATTTTCACTTAAACCAATATGGACTCCAATAAAAACAACTAATGGGAAAGAACCAAGAAAAGCAGTGTTGAGGTAATTCCCCGTTAAGAGAATGAGTGCACACAGGGAGACGTAGTGAGAGTGGTGAGGAATAACACACAACCAGCAGAGAGATACACTGTATAATAAAATGTAGGTTTTTACTTCCGGTAAATGGTTAAGCAAAGTCCAACAAGCAGTCCAAGTCATACACAGTTATAGCAGTCAGTTTTCAGTCCAGGGATAATCCAATAACAAAGTCCAGTATCAAAAACAGTTCAGTAATAGACTCACATCAAATCCAAGAATAATGATGATCAGCAACAGTCAATAGGGAAATGCAGGAACGGCAACACTCTCTGGGAAACCAGGTTTCTGGCTCCATCTTATGGCCGTTTGAGGAACCACACCAATTACAATTTTAGCATTCCCTTAAAGAGACAGTATTAAAATGTCTATCCTGGTTTACATTTCCAACCCAACTGTTAGATGACTTACATTCCTAACAAGCAGCATGCAGTTTACTTATAACTTACGATCTCATTCAATATTTGACAATTATTTATAAGCACGAGTCTACTTTAAAAAAAAATCAAAATAATTATCTCATTGATATAGCTGCACCTTGGGCCAAAATCTTGTAATGTCTTTTAGCAGGTATGTTTCTACTAAGCATCTGTTTTGATAGTCCCCAAAGACCTTTGAATAATGTTTCTTCTATTGAAATATTGTTAGGCCTACTCTTAAAAGATCAATTTGAGGCGCTGAAGAGAAAAAAAAATCCTACAAGACGCTTATGCAGTCCATTTCTATTTTTTGTGTTTCATAATTCAACCAATTGCCAAAAAAACAAACAAAAAATCCACTAGTGTATCTAGTGTTTTTATTTGATTTCTACAGCTGTCTCAGTAAATTACTTTGCATATCTTACAATTCAAAACATATATTACTATTAATTTAAAAAAACAACAACAACAATAAAAACATTAAAAACAGTAGAGAACATTTAAAGATCTAATTCAAAGTGTGTAAAAGAGCAAAATACCTGGCCCATTAACAATATAGCCTTTGGTGCATGAAGCTGAGCAAGGTTTTTAGATCTTTACAAAAAGTTAACAGAGTTGGATCTGTTCTAATCTCCAAAAGGAGGATGTTCCATAGAGTAGAGGACTCTGCAGAAAAAGTCTTCTAGTCCCCATCATACTGACATTCTCTGGCTGTTGGGATCTGCAGCATGTTAGTTTGATGGGTAGAAACTCTGGAAAAAAGGAGAACCGTCAGGTTCAGCTCATAATCAGTGAGTGACACAAAAGCTGGTACTTTGGCTTTCTCATCTGGATGACAGTGACCAGACATCTTCTAATCAACCTGGAATTATGGTTGAATCTCTTTGAGTGTTTTTTTCCCCAGACATCTTCTAGGAGTTTTACCACTTAGGATATAATCCCTCAATTGACTTCTCCCAGATTTTCTGGTTTTCCCACAATCAGGCCATACTTTTCTTTTGAAAGCCACAAGCCAACATCGTTAATTTTGCCCATTACTGCAGTGTAGATCAGGCTGAGCAATAATTACTGATTCATGGTTACTCAACACAAATTATGGTAATTAAATAGATTGTGGCAAGACCATGTTTAAAGAAAGCACTGGTAGTTATTTGAGAGGCATGGGAATAAGGTAGGATGATATGGGGTTCATGGTCCAACTTCAATAGAAGAAAAATATTTCCTACGATATTGTAAAGAAAAATGGAATTTATTGAATCTTGTTTATTGAAAATAAAACCAAGAATTTATTTTAAGGGTAAAATAGTAAACAATTTAAGCAATGGCTACATTTTGTCTATTTGAGGATTAGCTTCTCTTACATTAGAATGTTATGCGATATAGAGAACTGAGAGTTAACTTAGAGGGAAAATCATTAAGCTTCTAATTTTGCAAAGTATCTTTAAAAATGAATATTAGTGCAAAAAAGTAGCTCAGAAAGACATTGAGAAAAGTTGTTTTATGGTTTTGTTCAACTTGACTGAACCTAATGTATTCATTTATTTGTATAACAAACTTAGAAATAATTTCTATTGAATGCAGTTTAATTCCAAGAGTATATTAGGATTAAATTGCGAGTCTTCATTTCTTCCACTGGGTTGAGTTTTGGGACTTCCATTAAGAGAAGAAGGGAGGGAAAAAAAGTTAAATGCAGTCTACTATTTGCTCAGATGGCTGCTTCAGAATAGGGTTAGAAGCCATAAAGTGGAACTGTGTGAATCCTGGAACTCTATTGCATGCGGCACCTGTGGCAGGAAAAAAAAAGTTGAGAGAATAAACAATGGCTATTGCATTAATCTGCCTCCTTGTATCTTTAACATTTAGGGATTCTACTTTTCTATTGTAATGATGTCTTTATACACTTAGTTATACCATTATTGAATTTTCTCTCATAAATCTTTTCACTTTTAAAAAGGAATCTGCCTCAAAGCAGTTCGACAGACTTCATATCTCTTTAAAGTATAATTGCAACTTTATTTCAATTTACATCTTAATATTGGTGAATTTAATGAACCTTTGTATATTTAATCTTTCAAATATGAATTGCGGGAAATCAGAGATAAAAGAACTGCACTAAGCAACCTAGCCCAACAGGCCATTATGATTAGCAAAATTACTCTTCTCAGTGATCCAAGGGTTTATTAATGAGACACCCAGCATGACTGATCTTTGATTGCTTTGAAGTGGGCCTCAGTCTGATGCTACTTTCTGAAAAAGAACATTTCACTTAGCCATTTTCATAGGAAACTTATTCATATCAAAGCTAGCATAACCAAGAGATATTGTAAACACAACCATACGTATATGAACTTAGAAATTCTTCTATGCTAAAAGAAACATACAAGAAAAACTAAAAGTAGTACCATAGCTTCCACTTGTGTTGGCACAAATAACAGCACCAAAGAAGTCAGGGTGATATTTCTGGATTCTAGAAATAACCTTCTGACATGCCATTGTTGGGTCTAGTCCCAGTCGCATATATTCCACTGCTTGATAACTACAAAGACAGAAAATTGAACTGACAATCCACATCCTTTAGTGTACAAATAAGTGCATTTTAGCTGAGAAAAGAATGTTTTCAAATGTTTCTTTATTGAGAATTTCCCCCTACAACAAGGAAATTCTTCTTCCAATCCTCTCCTCTTCTGACAAATGAAGCAATAGCAACCAGAACTACACCTAAATTTGCACAGGTATTCTACCTTTGGAACCCATCCATTTTGACATCAAACAAATAGTTAACATCTGTTAAAACTATTTTTAAATAAACATCTTATTGTGAACAGTAAATTATCTGCCTTGTTTTTAACCATTCAGTGTAACTGTTTTAACATTATCGTATTTAAGGATATGAATAGTACAATTGTACTAGTTTTTGTTATTGAAGTATTTAGAATACATTTTCATTTTTCATTGCTTGCTGAGAACCTGATGTCCATTGCCACATTTTGTATTAGTTGCTTGTTCCAAGTCAAAGGCAATTTTATACGGAGCAACTTTTACAGTACTGCAGCTGACTGGCAATCATGGCATTAAATACTATTGCCAGTCTAGTAGTCCAGGTAGGATCATAATTGGCACACCAGCAAAAGCTGGGCAAAGGAGCTTTGGCCTCACTTTCTATCTGCTTCAGCAGTTTCCTTCTAGGTGGATCACAAACCCTAAACCAACTCTTTTAATGGGGCCCCATTAAGAGTAACTACTGCACCCAATATTTCTAAATTGACTGATGTTTAATGATGACAGCAATTTAATTTTGCTACAATTTAATCTAAGTTTGTTTCTGTACTTCCTATCTGAAAATGAAGGAATAATTCAATATATTATGAAAAAGAATGGTGCTGTAACTATCACAAATATTACATGAGGATCCAGATTGTAACGGCAATAGGCTAACTCTGTAAATTGCTTAGAGAGAACTGTAAAGCACCGTGAAACGATATATAAATCTAAATGCTATTGCTATCAAATATGCCTCTTTCCAAAGTAAGATACTGTAGAATAGTGAACTAGATCTTCGGCACAGTGGCAGCACTATAACAAACTGATTTAGGTTGACTTCACTTTAAAACATACCCCAAAGTCAATTTAGATGTGGCAGGATTAAACACGATCAAGAAAGGATGCTATTTTAAAAGCAATCTATTAATTCTTAATTAAAATGTTCTAAATTTATAAATTAAAGTGATTGATTCCTTTCCACTTGTATTTATTTTTTACACAGGTAGCAAATGCAAAGTATTCAAGCATACTCAAAACTACATTCAAAGGTTAATAAGGTTTAAAAACCTGGGCAAGAAGCGCATCATGATATCTCCATTACCAGTAGCCGCTGCAGCTCCAGCTGTAGTGTCGGCATATGCCCCTGCTCCAACTATTGGGGAGTCTCCTACACGACTAAGGAAGAAAATATCATGCAATACGTTAATTTTTAAAATATAAAAGCAGCTTTATTCTGAGCTGAACAACTAGTTTATTGAAAAATCATAGGTGGGGCCTTGATGAAAGGATTTTGGAAAGCTCTTGGGATATTTATTTATATTATTCCAACCCATTTTAGAATGTACAGTATATTCTAAAATACAGATTTTTTAAAAGGACATTTCCTCAATGTTCCGGAATGGAACAAGTCTCATTGGCTAACTAACTCAATGTGGGGACAATTCATTGCCCCACAAGTTCCCTACCTATCCAAACTGCTGGTAGCCAAGCGCATGCAAGCATACACACAGACATACTTACCCCACATTCCAAGTTGGAGGACTTTTATCCACAGAGAAAGGAGAGGTCCTTCTCCCCAAGCCCAGGCATGATTAGCAGTTTGCAAGCTCAGATGCGGATAAAAGTCTCCAAGCTTGGAATGGGGTGGGTGCATGTGTGAGGGCTTCCCGGGATGGAGGAATATGGTGGGGGCCTTCCTCCGCAGCAGCTGAACAAGAGAGTTGTTGGGAGAGAGAAGATAAAAAGGGAGGAAAGAAGAAAGGAAGGAAAGAAGTAGGAAAAGAAGAAAGGAAATGAAAAGAAGGAAAGAAATGAAGGAAGAAAAGAAGGAGGGAGGGAAAGAAGGAAGGAGATGAGGCAGACACCTGGAGATGCCATTCTATTTTGCAATATAAACATGGAAAGCGTTTAAGAATACCAGCACGCGAAAGCCAGCTTTGCTGCTTGGGGATGGGGATGGTGGGGGTAAGAAAAATCTGCAGCCCAAAAGACCTGGAGACCATTCTGGGACAGGCTGGAAGATGGAGGAGGCTGGTGAATGAAGGCTGGAACGTGGTCTAGAAAGTGCACACATGCCCTGCTTACGCTCCCCGTTGACACCTCTGCTTTCAACTGTGTGGTGGTTGAACACCCTCAGCAGGGCCACCTAGGGAGCCAAGTGCTCCCTGGAGGGAGAGTGGAAGAGGTTAAAAGGATGGCAATAGTGCTCTTTTGGCATCCCATCTGGTTCTCTCTGGCTACCACTCATTACTCTTCCTAGCTGCCACCATCCCAAAACATGGCTAAGACGGGGAAGGGGTAAAAATTGCGGTGACCTCAATTTCTCCAACTCCCCTTTTTGGGGCCCCAGCAGCAGTGCCAGTACCACCAGTCCTGCAGGAGCTGGGCTCAGACACCTTGCCAAGCTGTTCCTCCTCCTCTTCAAACCACCCCCAGCAGCCTTGGCCCAGCTTGAGGGAAATGGCAAAGCAGGCAGGCAGGCCAGCAGTGGTTGGGGTTGTCAATGCATCCACCCGCCCCACAGAGGCAACAGCAGGAGAGGCACCATCGGGACAGCTGTCAGGGGGAAAGAAAGTGGGGTTCCAAGCTTATTTGGCGGAGTGGGGCTGTTGAGGAAGGGGTGGGGTGTAGAGGTCCAGGGGGAGAACCCAGCCAGGTTGGGGTGGGCTGGAGCCGAGGCTGCGGGGGCCGGTGCCTCACCATCTCCACGGCGACCCCATGGGACAGATCTAAATTAATCACAGGCCAGATATGGCCCATGGGCCTTGAGTTTGACATGTCTGGTGTATATCTTGCCCCCTGGTATGAGATTTGCCCCAACAGTCCTAACTTCTTGTAAGGGCCAAAAGATGTAACTATGACTTGGGGCCCCAGTGAGGGAAAAGCGCAATGGAGATGGTTGATTGAGAAATAACAGATCCCACCTCCCCCCACACCTATGTGCCTTTGGCTATAAGGTTTGATTTTAGCTTTTTATGTTTTAGCTTAGATGCCCAGAGATACTCTGTTGTAAGATGGGTGGCCAATAAATTATATAAATAAATAACGTATCATCATCTGACTATATCTCACAATTTATTTACAATAGCATTACCTAATCTTGACAGGAATACACTTCTATTTCAAATCCAACTGTCATAAAGTAAGTTTTATGACAGTTTTATAAGTTTTAAATATATATTTCAAGAAAAAGGATGTTGAGGTGGATGGTCTATAGTTAAAAACATAACATTTCTGTAGTCATGCTGATCTAACAATATCAAGGTTTGAGAACTGGAGATGTTTATCTCAAGTATTTATTCATCATTAGGGAGTAGCAGTTTTATTTAAAGCGTTCACTATTAAAATGTATTAATAACAAGTAAATAAAAGATGACAACATAGGAAAAACTCAACCTCTAGCTTAGATCACCAAATAAAAGTGATCCCTATTACATTAATAGTTGATAAACACTTCGTTGGAAAATATTTGCATCACACTAAATAAAACATACTTTATATTTATAGATGCAAGATTTATATACAAACCCCCGGATTTTGTGATTTGCACCATTTGTAGATGTCCCTGCAGCAATATTTCCACTCTGACCAATTACAATCATACCTACAAATGAAAAAGAATTGGTTAGAAGCATTTTGAAGCTTTTCCTCATTTAATATGGATACTAAGCTGTCAGTCCTTCAAATTGGACAGGATTTCCATTACTTTTCGAGTGATATAACAGAACATTAGATTGCAGCTACAATTTTTTTCAAAATGCTTGATTGGATGGATCATATTTGGAAATTATCTTTCTTCTAGAGGCTTCTCAGAAAAATGATGCAAAAGACATTTTACTTTTAAAATAGGTTTGCTCTAGCCAAAAGGGAATCTTCCATCAGAGAAGACACATGACCATTAAGATTGTTTCATCTTCATCTTCAGTTAACTCCATCAAGATTATCTGAAGATAGATTTCTGCTTACAATATTTTTTTTATTATGGGTACAATGGAATGATTAGATGATTTTACATTCTCTAAATAAATTACCTAATATATTCTGCTCCAATAATCGGGAAATGTTGGAGGTGGCTCTAGAAGTGATCCAGGGCTGGGGGTGGGTGGGTGGGGGGGGAAAGGAGATTGAATTTTAATTATTAAATTTTAATAAACTGAATTGGGATTTGTAATTTCTGGTGTTGTCCGGATGATGGATTTCTTTGATGTATATTGCATAATTTCGTTATATATATTTTAGGCTTTGTAGGATCTAACTTATTTTTGTTGTAACTTATTTTGATTTATAATTTACTATCCCCCTATAGGTAGAGCTGCTTAGGTTTCTAATGTGTCTACTGGTATTTCTGTATATTCAAATACATTTGACATTTCTTTTTTTTGTTCTATACTTAGTTTTTAAGAGCACACGAGATGATGAATCTAGCGCTTTGATGTTTTTTCCCTCTAACAAACAACTTAAATTCACATTGTGGCCAATATCCCTGTAGTAGACTTAAAGCTTGATATTTTTTAAAGGAATAATTCTAATAATTTGCTTTACCTGTTTGTGAAAATACAGAGTTTAGGGAACTTTCTTCATTTCTACTAATATGTTGCTCATATAACAAGCAGTGAGAGCATCATGTCATACTACTGGATGAATACAAGAATCTAATCACATCCTATCTGCCAAGTGGGCAACTTGCCTAAAGTAGACAAAACATCTAATTTAAGATACCCTATTTCTGCTACTTTTCCTACACATCACTGTGCCTAGTGAAAAATATGTCTGGCTCAGTAAGCTGCCAAAGTAGAAGTGCTTACGAGGTCATGCCTTTTACTTGGTAAGAAACTTAACATTTGACATTTTAAAAATGCTAATTGCTAAATGATGACGAGTGTAATCATCACACTTGAAGGTTGCCTTAAGTGCCTGGCAGTGGGATGTACATTCCCAAGTCACTCCAGTGCTTTTGTAAATTTCATATTTAATTGCTATGCAGATGGCAGAGACTAAAGCCAAATACACAGATAGTTCCCCTCCTACTCATTTGAGGGAATTTTTTAAAATGTGAGGTTAATTCTGTCCAAATCCCCAAGTTTCATTTAGCTGCAGAGTGTGAGAATACCCATTAAGAAATCTTTCATTTTGTTTTAAAGGATACTCTTGTTGAATGTTTTAAGCAGGCAAAAACAAAAAAATTGCTCTTCAAAATGAACCTACATTTCACATTTCAAGACCACAATCCAGTTTGGCTAAAAGCTTCTCTTTAGCCTGTGTGTATCTGTATGCCCCAATAAGTGGATCTAAAGTCCATTATCACTATATTTGAGGAGGGAAGGCTAAGGGTTGAAAACCAAATACTGTATAATATTCTAAAACTAATTAGAGAAGAATATGCCAGATGCTTACAATAAGTACCAAGCAGATTTCAACACATAAATGGCAAAATCAGTAATACCATCCATTTCTTGGTAGGTGTCCTTTGTATTATGTCCATTACTTTATACATTATTGATATTTCATTGTGCATAGGTTTTTAGCTGCAACAAACACAAGTATAAAAGTATGAATAGTTGCTATACCAATAGTATCGTGGTCATGAACTTCAATTCTTTTGACTGAAGTGCTTTGTCCTTTTTTACTGAACTCCGCAGTCTGTTTGTAGGGACCACATGATTTTGAAGCATCTGGTGTAACATTCTGTAATCAAAGTTTTATTGACATTAAAATCTTTAATGAAGAGGTATTTCAAAGAAACCTATGGCATTTTTTCCTAGACTTTGAAAAAGAGAAAAGAACTAAATTACCTTGCTAAAAGAAAAATATAGGCTTGTATATGCCAAGGACAAAGAACTTTCATCTAAAGCAAATTATTGCAGTTCAGAGGCATTAAACAAAGAACAGATAAAGCATATATCTCCATTGGAGCAACTCAGTACTAAAAACACTTCAGTTACAAAAATGTTCAGATCTCATGTTGCTTTGTGATTTGCAAATATGTCCTAAGACAAATACCCAGAAGAGAAATGAAATATATCAAGTTTCTATGTGCAAAAAAACCTCCGCATAATATGTCTTGCCCCTACAACTATAATTTAAGATGAGCTCCTTCCAGACCTTATGAGCATCCCCACTGATTGTGATGAGACAACTTCATATATAACTATAGTGCTAGTTTCTGTAAGATTTAAACCTCATAATTCAGCATATTTTATTCCCACTTTACATGCATTTCAAGTACTAAATGCAAAATACAATACCCCACTTTCTTGCTTTCATAAGGAAGATAATGAAGAGGTTAGCTTAATCACAAAGTTCTCTTGCAACATTTATAAGCTCGTGTCTTAACTTCCTTAGTATACGACCTAGATTTCTACTATACAGCACTGCTTTCTGCTTTTTGAAGGGCAACTTACAGAACATGGCCTCAATGTGACATTTGTGACACTCAACAATATTGGCCAAGATTACCCACGGAGCTGATTAGATGTAGTAAGACATCTAATTCAAGATCATAAAAGGCCCTCGGGTATTGACTATCCTAGTAATATCTAGGTGTCAAAATTCATCCACTAAACATAGTTATAACATATACATGTACAGCATAGCATATACTTGTACTACCCAGTCTGAGTTTGCATTACAGGGCCTAATGAAGCTGGCCCTGCTGCAACAGCCATTCAGAATAAAAGAGATGGGTTGGGGTAGAGATATAAAAAGTCAGAAATGTTCACGTTATTTTCTGGGTAGCAGTACAAGTAAATTTCCTTGATTTGTTCTGGATTTTTTTAAAACCCTCTAGCTGCCTCTTGGTTTCTCATTCAAATATTAAAAGCATCCAGCCCCCCTTTTTGAGTAAACAAAAAGTCAATTAAGTGCGACCTTACTTGGAAATGATTGGTCATTTTAGTCATTGTAGCAAAGTAATATATGTGGCCATCTAAAGCTCCTCCACTCATTCCCACATGATCATAAAATCCAGGATCTGAAGCAGGGATGTCAAACTGGCAGCCTGCGGGCCGGATGCATCATGCCCAGGCCACACCCACACCAGCTCCGCAGACAAAAATGTCATGAAACATCACATGACAGCAACATGATGCCACAAGTTTGACACCCGTGATCTAAAGTAACTCCAGGGAATATTTAAAATAGATTAAAATACCAATCAGAGGAGAAGCTTCCAGTAAACTAAAATCAAGGTACCGTTGCTTTAACTCTACATGTTTCCATGTTAATAAAGTGGTAATAAAGTGTTTGCTCATTCTTGAACACAGACAGACTTGCCATATTTTTATCCAGTGATTATATTGTTTACTACTGCCAAAGAAAACTGAATTTCTGTAAGCAACCTTATTTTGGCAGCTGAAATGGTCTGATGCTGTTGTGTTTTTATAACCCTGCTGTTGTTCTGCTCATTGGAGATGGAGCAGGTACAGAAACAGTCCTAAACTTAAGTTACTATTTGTATCTCATTCATTAACTTAAAGTATTGGCTTAACTTTGTATATGATCCTAGTCGAGAAATTAACACTGTGCCTTTAATAGCAAAGGTAAAAGAACTCTGAATGCCAATTGCAGGAAAGAAAAACTGGGTTATATCTTATTTTTCCTTGTGTTTTACAAAACTATTAGTGAGAAAGATAATGCCCGGACAGACTCAGCTCTTATCTCTACCATATTCTGTTGAATTACAATGATCAAAATCATCAGCAAGCATGATAGCTCAAAGTATGAAAATGTAGTGCAAGGATAAGAGAAAATCAACGTAGGGCCTTTGCTTGATCCAGTAGGAATCTTCTACACATTCAGTCTTTAAAATTATCCAATATGCTCTGGAACTACTCTTATGATAAAAAGTCTACTTTTAATTTATTTCTTTTCTTTCTTGCTTGCTATTAAAGAAAACAAAGCAGAAATGCTTTTGGTTCATACTAAGCACAACAAACCATTGCAAACATTTAATAGTCATATACACAATTATTTGAATGAATAAACCTTTTGTCCCTGCCCCCTTCTATTCTCATCTTCTTGATCTTCTACCATTGAAAAATACAACATAGATTTTGTGATATGATACAACATGGCTGTTGAGAAATATTAAATGCACTGGCTTTACTTTTACACCGACTTCTCATTTCCTATATGCAGTGTTTGAAATTTTAAAAACTACTACAAAATGTTAAATTATATCATCAACATGGCCTTTTCTGGTGACTCAGAAATATATTCAGCAAAGTGCATTGTAGTTAGTCATCTTGTCTCCAAGTGATGATCATAAGGTTTGAAATATGAAGAATTTTTTTTATGACAAACAAGTCATTAAGATTTATTTTTAAATATTTTACCTTCCAGAAGTTTGGCTGGCAGTTTTGATTGAGCCACTTTATATACATTGAAACAGAGTTCTGTGTAGTTAAATCTTCACTTGGAAATCCCATGCTTTCTGCAAAGAGTGAAGCTTTATAGGGAAAAAAACACATGTGTAAGTATTCTGGTAGCTAACATTTGACTACAATCATAATGTACAGCATATGAAACCATAGTATGGAACAGGGGTCACCAACCTTTTGGACCTCAGGGACCACCAAACTCATAATTTTAAATCCTGCAGACCAGAGACCCTGGGAAAATCCCCCCAAAAGTCTGCAGGAAAATTCCCACCCCATTTTCCTACAGATCAATCATTCTTTATTTGGGATAGCAGAATACAGTCTCCAGCTCCGTTCTTGGGGGGGTGGAGGGGGGGCGGAGAGAGACTTTTGGCTTCATGCAAGGAAAGCAGCAGAAGTCTTTCTCTCCCCCAAACTCCACCAGAAATGAGTCTTTGCCGGCACAGCCTCTTGGAGCAGGATGCAGGGTCCCAAAGACTCATTTCTGGCAGAGTTTGGGGGAGAGAAAGAAAGACTTTTGCTGCTTTTCTTGTGTGCAGCCAAAAGCAGAAGAAGAAAGAAGTGGAAAGAGGTGGCGAGGTGGGGCAAGTTCCCTCCTTCTGCCCTTTCCCCATCTCCCCTCACTATCTCGTGTTGTTCACAATGCAAGTGACACAAGCCTTGTGTTTCCACAGGCCATGTCGGCGTTGCAGCCTTGTGTTTCCGTGCAGCCTGGATTAATTGCTTTGGGGGGTGCTTTGGGGGTGACATTTCTCTGAGAGCCACCAAAATTTTCTCACGGACCACCAGTGGTCCCCGGCCCACTGGTTGGCAACCACTGGTATAGGAGTTTTAAATTGTTATACTGTTGCATATCTTCTTCTCATTTATTGGTCACAAACTAATGGATGCTGAGAGACTATATGTTTTATCTCTCAGAAAAGACACAACAAAAGGTAATGTGCTATTACAGACCCAGACCATACAAGTTCCTGCCTGAGGTTCCATGGCTGCCCATGGTTCCTTCTGGAACCCATCCTTGTCGATTAGCTCACTGGGGGCAGACCAAACTGCCTCCTTGTAGGGGGAGGTACAGCTCTTGAGAAACTCTTTGCCACCAGACTATGATCTGACCATGGCAGGGGGAGCCAAAGACAGGTCCACCAATTCCAGGTCACACAGGCACTGCTCCAGCAAGAACACCAAATTGGGTGTGTGACCGCACTTTCTAGTTGGACCCTGGATAAGTCATGGAAGGCCCATGGAAGTCATGGTTTCCATGAAATCCTGGGCTACCTCTGACTTCACTTCCAGGAATGGCAGGTATAAGTCCCCCAGAACTATAAGCTTGGGGTAGCCTACTTCCAGCCCTATGGTAAGGTCCAGGAACTCAGGGAGGGAAGCCGTGATGCAGCAGCAATGCCACCTGATCCCTTGAGCCCAACCTAAGAAAACAGTAGGGCCCTTGTAGAACCATGTCCCTAGAGGTTGCCAGAGAATCTTGGATAACTACAGCCACATCCCCTCCCTGGCCCTGAGGCTGGTGCCATACTTGATATACTTGATATCCCACTGGGCACATTTCTGAGAGCGGAACGCCTCCCTCTGGACCCAGCCAGGTCTCAATGATATAAGCTAGACCAGACTTCTCTTCAAGAATCAAATCAGCAATAAGGGAAGCCTTCTTACAAGCCGATCTGATATTTAAAAGCAGCAGACTGAAGTCAGGGCCCCCACAGATCTACTGGCCAGGTAAATGAAGTGACTGCAAGGGGTCAGAACATGAAACCAGTACTAAATACCAAGATTGTGAGTGGCCTCCCCTTGTCTCCCATTACCCGACTACCCTGAATTAAATCGCTCTCCCCTGCCTTCCCTACAAACCATTCTATCTTCTACACTCTTTCTTGATATAAAAAGGGAATCTCCTCCAACTTATAGTCAGGACTAGATGAGCTCAACAAGCACTATAGCACTTGCTCTCAGCGCCCTCAAACACGCATTGCCCCTAACTGCAGCAACACTCACAATACATATTTAGTACACAAACAGCACACTGCCCAGTTGCTCTAACTCCTCCCTAGCAGGGACTCCCCCCCCACTTTCACCCAGAGAAAAGGGACTAACACACTCATCTGACTCTCACCCAACTTTACCCCCACAGCCCCGAAGTCCCTCAAGCACCCTCCCAAGGTCAGATAATAAAACATTCCAAAGATTTCAAGGAATAGGAGCACAGGAGCAGCCTAAAGGCATGCGATGCTGCGCTGAGTATTCTTGCAGCTGTCCAGTCCCACAATATCTCTTGAAGTGCCAGCACACAGAGACCAGCAGCAGTTCAAACAGTTCAAAGCTCCCATAAGTCGTCTAATCTCCTGAAAATCCCAGCAGAAGCCTGCTATGCTCCACAGATCCAGCTGCCGACAAAGACCAGGCAAAACTTGCCTCTTCTGTAAGCTCCACCTCCAAATTATATAATAATATAATTTAATAATATTATTCAAACAGAAATGTAACAAGGTACTAGTAGCCTAAACTGAGCTACGTGTAGTTTCTGGCCTCTTTTTCATTATTTTGCTTTCAACTAGAAGAGCAGATATTTTACTGTTGGTTATTATTTTATGTGTGTCATCTGGCCAGAAAACTGGAACAAAAATGAAAGAATCATCATCACTATGTTCAATTCATTTGTCCACTGGGGTTCTGAGGCCTTCTTGGCTCCAGTTCTGAGTTTCCATCATGGGAACTAATATTTACAAATAGGATAACAAACCAAAACAAAAATAATTACCTGACTCGCCAACTAGAAAAGTGTGTTTAGTATGTTCTATCACTTTCCGTGCGACACCAATGGCATTTTTAATGCGCCTGAGATCTGCTACTGCTCCAACCTGCATTGTGTTACTAGATCACACACATGTACAAAAAAAAAAGGAACAGATATTTAAAGTGCTACCCTCAAAATACAGAAAACAAAATCAGCTATGTCAAACTGTAGGTATTAATGCAAAATGTATATAGATATATTGATATTCAATAATCATTTTGAGGCTACTAGTCTGCTAATAAATAGCTTATGCTTGTAGGCTGCAATCTGGATAACTGCATGCTACAGACATTTGCTACAAGTAAAAAACATGTTTAGGAGCTCTAACCATATGGCAGCATTTGGATAAACCAGAACCAAAACAGTTTTAATAGCAGAGTATACAAATCCCACGTTGGATTGGAAAATTTAAATTAAAAAGTATTTTGCTAATATCAGCAGCAGGTTTCTTTGATCTTTTTGAAACTGCAAGACTGCCATCCATGAAACAAGTTTATCTTTCTCCTCTCTAAAATACTTTATAGAAACTCACCAGTACATATATCAGAGGAAGAAATATTTGCTATGCACCACATGTATTCTCACATATAAATTTACCACCCAAGATGTAATATCCATTTCAAAGCACTCTAAACTAGATACTCTTATTGGTTGATTATCTCCTTAAGATACTTAAGATTTTTGCCCTGTGGGGTACTATTCGGATTTCTTAAAATACTTACAGAGAATTTAAGAATATTTGGGTCAAAAATCAAGAATTCAGATTATTATACTACCTGTACCTATGTAATGTGGTACTTGGGAGGACCATTTTGTAGTGAAAAACCATCTTGTTCCAACATGCATGGTAATGGAACGCAGTACATAATATAACCACAATCTAAAGCCACATAATGTGCTACTAAATATTTATGTGTGACTCTGTGTTACTAGGAAACTTTTTGTAGAAACAGTTTTCAAAGATACAAGTTAAAGATGGTTGAATCACTTTATTATAGTGAATCACTTTATTATAGCAAAGGCTGAGGAGAATAACTTCAATATAGTTTTGTATGATAGTTTAAGAAAAGAAATTCTTCTTACACTTTCACAGATCAAAGCGTAGCATGAGGGAATATAGATTTGAAGAATGATTAATTTGGGGCACCTCCCTTCCCTGAGTCCTGCTGTGCTACTTCATCATTGCAGGAGGTCTGCTCCTGGGAAGGATGAGTGAAGAACGCCAGTTGTACATGCCAAGAATATATAATCCCAGCAGAATCATGAAGGCATGAGGTCAATCCAGCAGCACTGCTAAAGGAAGGAACCATCTAAAGCACAGCATAGCAACAATATAGGAAGATGCTGGAGCAGATTATCACATCTAATGATAATTGCATTGGCATCAATTCACACTGTTTGGAAATAGTCAATGATAAATCAATCTTATATTTTTACCAAGAAAACTTTGCCAATCTTGAGCCCATGTTTCACCTTGGTCTGCCCATGATGGGTCTTCCTGACATGTATATAGGTTTTGCATTACAATGATATATTCTGGAAAAGGAGTCCTAGATATATATATATATTCCTTTACTTATTCAACCTATGTACTAAACATATACATTAGGTATGTGTCTGAAAAAGAAGCCTAAAAACATTTATTTATTCAACTATGTACTGAACATATACATTAAGCAGGATTGGAAAAAAATGAACATAGTTTAAAGTTGCAGAAAGAAACTTTGCTGATCAGATTATCCCAATAGCCAAAAATACAAAGAATCTTCAGCTCTGTAGATAATCAGCAGCATCATTAAAGTCAAGCAGGACAGTGAATAAGTGAGACTACAATATAAAGACCAAACAGGTAAAATAACCAGAATTGTCAAAGATACTGAGCAGGTACAAAACCTCTGAGTTTTTGGAAGAACTATTGACAGTAAAGGAACAAGCAGTCCAGAAATATTCTGCAAACAAGCACTTGGTACAATAGCCATGAAGGCCTTGAAAAATATATAGATACTGTGATGTGTTTATGTCTACAAAAATCATAATATTACGGGCAATGATATTCCTTGTAACACTATGGAAATGAAAATTGGATTTTGAAGAAGCGGGACAAAGAAAAAAACAATGCTTTTAAAATCTGGGGGTTGGGGGAAATTCATTATAACACCATGGATAGTTAAGGGAAAAAAAAGAATCATCAAGCAAATAACCTGGCTCAAGTTATACTACTTTGGATATTCCTACTTTGGAAAAGGCTATAATGCTGGGAAAGGTAGATGGACAAAGAGGTTGGCCAGCAGCAAAGACCAAATCAATTATTGTGATGTGCACTGTTGGAAAGACAAGGTTAGGAACAGATTATCATGGGGAAAAAAATCTATGTGGTTATTAAGGCTCTACACTGAACTTGGTGGCACATAATCAAAGTTTAGGTAAAGAGTAGGGATTTACTATACAGTATAAATCAAATCTAAATACTCCCCTTGGCATGTTTGCGTAAGCAGAACACCATGAGCTACGTCAATAAAAATAGCAGCAAGTCTCAGTCATCCAATTGTCCTCTATTTTTTTTTTAATTTTATAATACCAAGCACAATATCCTGATTCTTAGATGCATACTCGAATGTCTGATCTCAGTAGCTTTTGCTACCATGCTGTTCAATGGAGTTGGCCATTAATATAGAATTATATAACTGTATTATTTCTACAGTTCAGTTTTAAAACTGTAAAACAGGAATGGGAAACCTATTTGTAAACAAGCAAGAGAATTGCTTAATAAGTATTTACAGAAGACCACAGAAGTAAGGTAGGACCATATCACTCTTATGGACAATGGGCATGGACAATTTCATTTTTTTAAAAATCGAGATATGGCAAGAAATTGCTTCATCATGCAGAAGAGTCTAAAGTCCTCAGGCTCTCCTTTCCTCCTTTCAGAAATTGCTGGATTCGGAAAAAAATCTCTACTGTTTGTAGGATGTCTTACCCATCCATAATCATGGCATCCAAAGTTGTTTCTCCGTGTTCATCTGGACTTCCGCCATATCCTACACTTCCATCACACTGTTCTATTTCGCACTGCCCACAACCTTTCTCTACTGCATCAAGTTCAGAACCTCCTGCTTGTAAGGTATTCCAAGCTGCAATCAAAAGCACGCAAACACTTATTACAGCTGGTTGGATGCCTGTCATTTCTCCAACAAGAAAAGTACATGCAAATTTCACACCCATTCTTACAACATTCGACTGGCTCAATATAAATATGGGCACATGTCAAACATATGAATTCATCAAAAGTTGTTAATAAAAATGTGCAGGATTTTTCTTATAAGTACTATTCCAAGGTAAAATAAGCACAAATTTATACTCTAATTCTAAGGAATAACCATTTCAAAGCACTTCAGTCTCGTGTCATAAAAAAGTAACCTAATTAAAGAAAGTTTTTTATAACTTGTTGGCTACTTATACTTTATTCTCTTTAAAATCTGGCATTAGTAAAATAGAATTAAAAAGGGTTTTTTGGTTTTATGGAATCACTTTTTTTCCTCTTTCAGATTTGTTACAGAACACATGCTAAGCTAAATTTAGATCCAGGGACACCCCAACATTACTCATATTAACAACAGCACAATCCTTGAGATATTCACTCCAAAGTAGGTCTCATGTATTCATTAAGGTTTACAAAGATAGTTATGCTTTTCCTGCTAATTACTATTAGCAACAACTGCAAATCAAAATGCTCAATTCATCAAAATGTAAAATCTTATTTAAGAAGTTTTTTTGAAGCTCAATTCCCGACAACTTGATTTCTTGGCAACAATATATGGAATGGCTTGCCGTTATCATCTCCCGAGGTGTGTTTTAAAATCTTCCAATGATCAGATTTTCTAATAGCTTTTCCTTTAAGCATTAAGCAGATTCTATGCTGCTGCTTATCTTTTTTTTAGAATAACCAAGGTCAATTTTATTTCACCAAAAGATCCACACATCAAATGTACAAGTTAGTGTATTCATCACTAGTTGTTTTAGCAACTGCCAGGGAATTGGGGGCATTATCCCTAAGAGCTGTCAATATGTATTACATTGATGGACTTTAAACCTCTCCTTTCAATTGTGTCCAATTCTCGGAGACCGTCTGGAAAGTTCCCTCAGTTTCCTTGGCAAGGCTATTCAGCAGTGATTTACCATTGCTGCCTTCTTAGGGCTAAGAGAAAATGACTGGCTAAAGGTCACTCAGTGGCTTTGTGCCTAAGGCAGCATTAGAACTGGCAGTCTCCCAATTTCTAGCCAGGTATCTTAACCACTAATCAAACAGGCTCTAAAGCAGGGGTCTCCAACCTTGGCAACTTTAAGACTTGTGGACTTCAACTCCCAGAATTCCTGAGCCAGCTTTGCTGGCTGAGGAATTCTGGGAGTTGAAGTCCACAAGTCTTAAAGAGGAATTCTGGGAGTTGAAGTCCACAAGTCTTAAAGTTGCCAAGGTTGGACACCCCTGCTCTAAAGAGAGCAATAATCAGTAGCATTTTGCTCAGCATATAAAGATGCAGGTGTTTAAGCATGAAATCTATTTTCAGCGCAAACCAAACACATGCCAAGTAATACGGGAAAAAAAAAACACTATTTCTCCCTGAAGTATAGGGTAGTCACTCATAAGGCAGCTTGAGGACGTTATATTACACTATTAACTGCATCAGCCCAGAGGGAACCTAAATGCAGTAGGAAGGAGACAAACGGGGATACAAAACTTTCGGAAAGTCCAGATTACGGTGACAAATAGACCCACGTCGATGCCCCCGCCACCAAGGACAGAAGAAAAAAAAAGTGGCACCTATTTCGTTAGCATTCTTAAATGTCCAGGTGTTGATGACCAAAGGCAGCTGAGGCGCCCCAGCGCTTGCTGCGGCCAGGCCCTTCACCCCGTGCAGCAACACTAAGAACCAGCAGCATTGCCGGCATCGGCCGTCGCGTCCCATGGCACAGAACCGGCTCCGAGGCTTGAACCGACAATCGGCCGCGCAGCGACAAACGGCTTCCTATCGCCTTTCTCTTTCTCCCGCTTCTCGTGACCAGGGGCAAGAGGGACGCATGCGCAGGGAATAGACCAGGAAGAGTTCGCGGTAGAGTTGCGCGTTCGGATGTTAACGTCGGCGGCCGCTTTGAGCCTGAGACGGACGGAGGACGGAAGCGCTCCTGGTTTCCCTCTGATGTTTCTCAGGCTGAAGTTGTGCGAAGCCCAGTTCGGAAGTGGGTCGTGGGAGCGAGCGAGCGAGCAAGAAAGCAAGCAAGCTTTCAGAAAGGAAGAAGTTGATTGTAGGGACGGGGTGGGGGGGGGGGCGTAGGAAATTGAGAGAATGCGGCTCTAAACTCTTTGTAGAGCTCATTGGCTGTGTTTGCAGGCCCATCTCCTGTTTAATTGAATCGTGGTTTGCTTAACTCGGTCCAAAGAGTGATTGAACCAGTACCGTAGCAGTTTCTGGGGTGAAGGATATCTTAGAAAAAAACGAATCAGAGTACGGAAGATTAGAGTACAATCTACTCTTAAAGAGTCAAGTACAAGTATTCTTATCAGTAGGATGAATTACATTTCTCATCTTTGAAGTTTGTATTATAATTTCAATTTCTTATAAGGAAATTACAGAATAACAGAGTTGGAAGGGATCTTGGAGGTCTTCTAGTCCAACTCCCTGTTCAAGCAGGAGACCCAGACAAGTCTCTCCTTAAAAGCCTCCAGTGATGGAGCACCAGTAGCTTCTGAAGGCAAGCCGTTCCACTGATTAATGAACCCCTGTGGCATTCACACAAGTGAGGCCCCAGGTGCCCGCGATGCTCATGTGAATGGGGCCCGTGAACCCTTGCAATGTTTGCACAAGTGAGGCTGTGCATGCACACTTGCGCGCATGCCAGGCAGGCTCTCATGCAGCCTGCTTGCGAATAGGCCGCGGTCCTGTACTGGGCTATGGTCCACAGGTTGGGGACCCCTGATATATACGATATACTAGGCAAAGAGAAGGTACAACCATTCTAAGTGATGGAGACATCCAAGGATATCTCTGGTTTCCTGGGAGCCTCAGGCCTAATGGTTTAGCCAGATCTTGACTCCTTTCAGGATTAGCAAGAGGAATTGAGCTAATTTAATGGTGAGTGCGGCAGCAGAGAGGGCAGTCTCCTGGGATCACCAAGTGTAGACCTCCAGCTGCTAGTACTTAGAGTATGCCTTCTCTGCTCAGTCTAATAAGGTGGGCTGAAATAAATGGAGAGAAGCAGTGTCTCGGATAGCCCAGTGAAGGATTTTAAACATTAAAATCATCATCTTGAATTGGACCTGAAAACGGACTGACAGCCATTGCAGATTGGAGCAATGATTGGATTGTAATTGAATTGATGCACTACTAATTAAGCCATAATGGCTTAACTATGCCTTATATAAACCACCTTTGAATAACTAAAAGGTCAATTCTGACTGAATCCACACAGCATGCTAAGCCAATATCAACCAAAATAAGTTACAGTTTAGTTGATCTGTAAACCAAATAGTATTCTGTTAGGCTATAAAGCTCCATACCTACTGAGAAAATTGTGTTGTGCATACGAATGCATTTGGCACATAGAGTAACAGGATGGCCATTTATTTAGCTGGTCATCTGAAGACCTAAGCAATAGCAATAGGACTATAATTGAACTGGTCTAGAGAGGAAAATTCAGAAGATAACACTGCAGTTTCAAGAGTCAGCTTCCAATTACAACAGCTAAAGCAGAACTGATGAAATAATTTCAATCCCTATAAAGAGAAAAGCATATGGAAAAATGGCTTTGGTTTATTTCGAAGCCACCTGCAATCACTTGTGGATGGATTCTACATGTTTGTTATTGTAATAAATTATATATAATTATATTGATTATTAATGATTATTGATTACCTTGTTTAGTGATTATCCCAGGCAGCAACCATTTGAAGTTAAAATAGTAATGAAAAAATAATTTTATGACCAATGTCTACATTTACGACCATCAGTGTGTGTGCTTCTCTCTTTTGTGATCACTTTCTCTTAATGAATATAAATACAAGCATTATTTCCCTTTTTGCGAATTATCCCAGCACCTGAGTGAGTAAAATCCTAAGCACAGTTGCTGATTTTTCCACTTAACAGTGTGTCTTGAGGAACAAGTTGTGGGTTCCAATTGTGGTTGCTCGATGAGGATTACCTGCATGTTACTTATATTTTATATATTTATATAATTTATATTTTACCTTAATGTGAGTCTGGAGTAATTTGCTATCCCTTTGGGTAAATATACTAGTTGTACTAATCCATTGTCTTGGTCTTTAAAAAGGACTTACAATATGCTGTGATTTCTGTCAAACATAAAAAGATATATTGTTTGTTATATTCAAACATTATTTTAGCTAAGGATACCATTTACCAAATAAAATTATCTATCCTTTTCAACAGAAACCATTATTGAGAAGACACCAAAAGTCTATGTGATGAAGTAGTTAGATACCTTTTACAGAAATCAGTCTGAACCAACTCTAAAATAAATTTCATAGCTGATTAACTGGCACTAAAAATACAGCAAAACCTTGTTTATATTTCCTGTTTGAACATGGTACAGATAAAGAATATGCTAATTAAGACGCCCTACCTTTCCAAGATTTCCTGAAAGTTCATATATAAATGTAATGGTTTCTGTGGTCTTTGGTGGTTAACATACAAGTAGATCTAGACGTACTACAGTTCATTTAGTGACCATTCGAAGGTACAACAGCACTGAAAAAAATGACCATTTTTCACACTTTCTACAATTGCAGCATCACATGATCCAAATTCAGGTGCTTGGCAACTGACTCACATTTATGACGTTTGCAGTGTCTCAGGGTCCTGGGATCCCCTTCTGCGATATTCAGAGAAGCAAAGTCAACGGGGAAGCCAAATTCACTTGACAACCATGTTACTAGCTTAACTGCAGTGATTTACTTAACAACTGTGTCAAGAAAGGTTGTAAAATGGGGCAAAAATCATTTAACAAATGTCTGGAACAGAACCTGTCTGGAACAGAAATGTCTTAGCAACAGAAATTTTAGGCTAATAGTGGGCTTACTTTGAGGGCTATGTGTATATAATATCTGACCTTTGAATCATTCCTATTTTCTCAGTTAAATCTACTGAATAGATAGTACAATGTTTATTTACAACCTTTTAACTTGGGAAGGAAGCTTGTAGTTCTTTCTAGTCTGAAGAACCAGAAAAATCATCTGCAAATATAGCTCTAGATGCTTTTTCTAAAAGCAGGGAACCTAAGCCAATCAAAAACACTGGGTTTTTCATATGTTATTTCATGAGCACAAGCTAAATCATCTTGTTCAAATTTAATATATTTGATGCTGCTGGATTCATATTTTGCTATGAATTATTTACAGTTGTTTTGTTAGCATTTGTGCAACAATTTGCAGAATGAGTGAGGATTTTGTTTGCTAATCTCTGATATAGCCTACTACAGTCCAGGTTATGGAGATAGAAATACAATAGCACTTAGACTTACCACGTGTTTTACTAATTTTAAAAAATACTCCCCCCCCCAATTCTTTCTTTAAGAAATGATTTCAAGATATTATATGCTATTTATATGGTTTTATGTGTTTTAATTTATTACAGGATTTCCAAAATTTCAAATACTAATGGATAATAGGAGCTGTAAATACTACTTTTTAAACATAAAATGTAAGGTTTGACTCTCTAAGCAATAAGCAGCTATTCAAATCTGCAACTTAATCCAATTCATTATTTGAGAATTACTGTCATGCCAGCTGTATTTTGATATCAGCTTATTCTTTTGTGATAGATATTGGGTATAATTTATTCCGAAGGAATAAAATTGCATTAGGGTCTTCAGTGGAAATTTCACTGTTTTAAACTAAAAGTGGGGATAATTTTTTTTTATTTAAAAAAATCCACAAGTTAACTAGTGTCACGGAAAATGGGGGAGGTGAAGCAAATTTAATATTTAGGCCAGTCTCTCCTGTCTGCTCATTAACCAGTGGAGTTTAGCTCTCAATCTATATAAGAATATGTGCAGGTATAGTAATTTGTGAAAACAAGACTGATCTTCATTAGGATAAGAGCTTTTCAGCAATAATATGCTATATTAACACCTTTTTCTTGAGAAGTATCAGGGACATTGATTTCTACCTTGCTGGTAATTAGAAAAGACTACATGATTTAAATTCATTCAGCTATTTATTCTGAAAGTGCTGCCACATGATTTATTTTATAACTGGAATATTTATTACTATAAAATTTGTAATGTTCACTAAGTCATAAGTTCAACATAATTTTGTTTTAGGGAAGTGAATACAAAATTGTAGCCAAAAGCCTGGAACTGCAATAAAGAATAATACTTTGTATCTGTTATTATATACTGGTGTTTTTCATATAGGGAATCATTCTGTGTGATTTACATATTCAGAAAAATATGATTTTATCGCAGTACTTTAATGTCTTGCTTTTGTTTGCTTCAAGAGTGTTTAATATATTTATCTTTAATAATTGTAAGAATAGCCCACTCCAAAGTTTTCATACCCAGCTTGTAACAAGCACTTTATACTGCTGCAATTGATTTTTTTTGTCATCCATTATAATAATAAGAACTTGGATAGCCGCTGCAACTTGTTACATAACATCTTATGTGACTTCAAAATTATTTTTCAAGTTAAATCACCCAACTTATACATTCATATTTGTAAGACATTTTGAATATTTAGTAAAAGTTTAAAGTTTATTTTATTCCAGTTAGAAGCTGAGTTTTCCTTCTGACCCTTGGAGATTTGCCATTAAGATCTTCTGGTTTATTAAGCTATTTTCCTATAGTATTTGAATGAAGAAAGTAGTTTTAAGTATTGCCTGAAATCTGATTGAAATACAAAGTTGCTTAAAGCAGGTAGTTAAGCTTTATAACAGTCTCTTCTAAGACTAACAGTCTCTTCTAAGACTGCAATGTAATCAGAGACTTATAAAGCTCTATCCATGAAAGTAATATAAAATTATGTACAGTGGAACCTTGGGTCGCAAACATTTCTGTCCGCCACCAAATTGG